AGACAAAACAATGTGTATGAGAGACACAAGGCAGTTAAATGGATTCTTTTGAATGAGCCCTGTGTGTGTGAGTGTGTGTGTGTGGGTGTGTCTGTGTGTGTCTGTGTGTGTGGAATGCAGAGACCAAGAAATCTTGTTGACAACTTGTTGTTAGGATCTTACAAATTTGGATATTTTTTGAGTGTGCGTCCAGTCCTTATGTACATAATGCAGTTCAAACAACCTCTGAGCTGTTTAGTGTTAAGTTTGTTTCCTTTAAGTTGCTGCAAATGTGATTTGATCTCTTGCACAGACCAGTCTTAGGCCTATGTGATAGCAGAAAAAGCATGTAACACACAAATTCAGTCCGATGAACTGTGATATGCATGACTATTTGGCAGTGGTAACACAACGATCCACTAGCATAACCGTCTGTGGATTTTCCTTCATGAACTAACACGCCTAAGAGTTGTCAACAGCACTAAAGGCTCTTCAAGGCTGTACTAAGGCTAATGGGTGGTTTGAGCTCACACCATCCATCCATCCATCAATTTTTTTCCACTTATCCACAACTGGGTTGTGGTGGCAGAAAGTTACACTGGGTATTCCAGACATCCCTTTCCCCGGGCGGGGAGGGATACTTTATCTCTTCAGTGAGTTCTGGATCTTTCCCGGGGTCTTCTCCCAGCTGGATGTGCTTGGAAACCTCCCAAAAGAAGGTGACCACGATGCATTGTAATCAGATGTCTGAAGCACCTTATTTGGTTGTTTTGAAATGTATATTTACTACCACCACCCTCTGGATAGCCAAAATTCTCACAGTCTCATCGCTGTGTCTGTTGATCTATAATGGTAGCTATTAAGAAAAATATATAAAGTTATATAATGCTTTCAATTACTTACTTATTACCCCCTTATTTTAGTGTACCCACTTTGAAGTGTTTGTAGATAATTTCTACAATTATTAAATTGTAAAATGTAAAATACACTGAGATTCAATTTAACTGGACAGGAATAATGGCCTTGGTTGTTGGATGTATTATAAAGTGTTACCAGAAAAAAAACTGTTCTGAATTAATTTCCCTGAGACTAGAAATCATCCAAAACTTACAAGGAGTAATTTGTGTTTTGAGGCATCAAACTGGCCTCGAATTGAGATAGACTGTTTTCATTCCCACAAGTCTATACTTGGCTAATAGAAAGCACATAAAAACTGTATGTAAGTGGTTCCCAAAAGATCTGACCTTCTCACTCTGACTGCACTTGAAAGTTGAAATTATGAATGTCAATAACATGGTTGGAGACAAGACCCAGTCATAAACGGAGTCGAACACAGACTAAAACATGTGTTTTGCAGATATACACCTCTCTGTTCGATTGTAAAAAGACCACATGGTTCATAGCACTGTCAATCATACCCTGTTCTGCCACACCACCAACAAAATGTTTTAGAACATGTTTTACTCCACAAAACACACACAGACTACATAGATGGTCAAACTCCAAAGACATTTGGCTCAAAACCAGCGCTGAAATTAATGCAAAACTATGACGCTGCTGTGCTGCTACATGTATGTGAATTTGGAAGATTCATTGGCTTTTCATGTCCACAGTCAGTGGACTGTATCTGTGAAAAAATTTCTGGACAACACACTGTTCTGTATCAGTCCTGCTTTCCACTTTGTTCAAACCAAATTTATTTCTTAAGGCAATAGAGAATTTATGCAAACCTACTTACCTACTTTTTCCATGTGTGGAAAAAGTAATTGCCCCTCTTGTGAAATCATGAATTAACTGTGATTAATCAAATTGTTTGGAAAGCTGAGTTCAGTTCCACTAAACACACAAGCATGATTAATAGCAGACCTGTTGAATCAAGAAATCACTTAAATGGAACCTGTCTGACATTCATCAGTCTGGAAAGGGTTAAAAAGTGATTCCTAAAGGCTTTGAAGCCTTCAGTGAACCATTAAACACAAATGGAGAAACTTGGAACAGTGGTGACATTTCCCAGTGTTACGTTTCGGTGTTGTCAGTGTGTTGTTTTTGGCGTGACTGTTATGTGTTTCCTGTTTTACTTTGAAAGTCTGTGTTATCTTAGTGTTTTCCGTGGGACCGCTCCAGCCTTCATCCGCCTTCGCTGGAGGGTCCGAGGGACCGCTCCAGCCTTCGTCGTCTGCTGGAGGGTCAGTGGGACCGCTCCAGCCTTCATCAGCTTCGTCTGCCTTCGCTGAGGGAGGGTCCGTGGGACCGCCCCAGACTTTGTCGTCGCTGGAGGGTCCGTGGGACCGCTCCAGCCTTCATCCGCCTTCGCTGGAGGGTCCGTGGGACCGCCCCAGCCTTCATCCGCCTTCGCTGGAGGGTCCGTGGGACCGCTCCAGCCTTCGTCGTCTGCTGGAGGGTCAGTGGGACAGCTCCAGCCTTCATCGGCTTCGTCTGTCTGGATCAAACTTTTCACTTGGTGTTAAATGTTTGATTTTTGGGTGGGGGGAACTGTTACGTTTCGGTGTTGTCAGTGTGTTGTTTTTGGCGTGACTGTTATGCGTTTCCTGTTTTACTTTGAAAGTCTGTGTTATCTTAGTGTTTTCAGTTAACGTTTCCCTGTCTCGTCAGTTCTGAGTTGCCCCAGCTCAGTTTCCCTCTTGCTGTCCATTTTCCTGATTGCTCCCTGTAGGTATTTAAACCCTGTGTTTCAGTGTGTCATGGTCGCAATCTCCCCCGTGTTGTAAATAGTTTGGTGTTTTGTTGTAAATAAATAGTTTGTTGTAAATAGCTGTAAATAGATTTGTCGATACTTTCGTTTTGGGATTTTGGTGGTGAGCTTTAGTGGGGGGTTTTTTGTGTGTTTTTTTTTTTTCTTCATTTTTTATTTTTTTCGTGTTGCACTCCGGTTGCCTAGGCCGGGGTGTAACACCAGGATTGACTGACCAGCCAAAATTTCTCCAAGAGCATAGCAACTACTGATCTAGGAGGGCACAAAAGAACCCAGACAAATTAAAAACTGGAGGATTCACATGTCTCAAGTCAGATCAAAGTTTATAATTTAACAATAAGAAAGAGATTGGGCAAAAAAAGCCACATAAAGGCTCATCTCACGATTGCCAGAAAGTATCTTGATAACACAGAGACTTTTGGAAAAATACTCCGTGGACTGACAAGATAAAAGTTAAAGTTTTTGGAAAGTATGTGTCCCATACCTCTGGTATAAAAAGTAACACAGTATTTCAGAAAAGGACCATCAAACCAACAGTAAAATTTGGTGGTGGTAGTGTGATGGTCTGGGGATGTTTTTTCTGCCTCAGGACCTGGAAGACCTGCTGTGGTAAATGGAACCAAGAATTGTGCTGTCTACCAAAACATCCTGAAGGAGAATGTCCGGCCATCTGTTTGTGACCTTAAGCTGAAGCACACTTTGGTTCTGCAGCAGGACAATGATCCAAAAGACACCAGCAAGTCCACCTCTGAATGGCTCAAGAAATACAAAATGAAGACTTTGGAGTGGCCTGGTCAAAGTCCTGACCTGAATCAGATTGAGATGCTGTGGCACAACCTTAAAGGGACATACTCAAAAACCCTCAGATTTGCCTGAATTATAACAATTCTGCAAAGATGAGTGGGCCACAATTCCTCCACAGCGCTGAAAAAGTGTGACACAAACGCTTGATTGTAGTTGTTGCTGCTAAGGGTGGCTGAAACAGTTATTAGGTATAGGAGGCACTCAATTTTTTACACTGGGTGATGTAGGTTTTGATTTTTCCCCCCTTAATAATAAACACCTTTATTTAGAAACTGCATTTTGTGTTTACTTGTGTGATCTTTATCTAATTTATCTAATTTAATTTGTTTGATAATCTGAAACATTTAAGCGTGACAAACACAATAAAATAGGTAATCAGGAAGGGGGCAAACACTTTTTCACAGCATTGTATTTGAGGTCCCATCTGTGCAGATCTGAGTTATACTCAACATATGCTCTAAATACCAAAACAAACAGTTTAAATTTCCAAAAATGGGATCTTCCAACCTTCTCATTTTGATGAAATATATCTTCACAACCGTTTGCTGTCATAAAGCTGTTTGGATGTGATTTTGTAGATGATAGGCACTCCACATGAATGGAGCAGTGAGCACCACGACACAAGGCGACGTGCAGTAAGTCATTCCTTGACTTGTTATTTTTCCCCTTCTGCCTCTTTTGAACAGTTCCACTGAAGCAATGGAAGCATTGTGTCTAAAAGATGGCCGGATATGGGCCTCCAGCCACAGGCACAGTAGCTTTCCTTGATATGTGTATGTGTGCTAGTGTCTGAGCTCGTGCATGTTGGGGGGGATTTACTGGTGACAGAGCCATAATGAAGATTAGATGGTCAATTTCTTCATAAAGAACACTAGAAGAAGTATCATAGTGTATCAAAATTTGACAAATGACAACTTTTATTTAGTACTATTAGTAGCATAATGAAACACAATAATATGGTTCTAGATGATTATGGCCATCACACAGACTCATTATAACTCACTGTTATTTTCTTTGTTCTTCCAACTAAATGTGCCAGAAAGTATCCACCTCACAAAGCATTTATTTTCAACTTTCTCCTGATTGTTTATTTGAGCAGAAATTAAAGTTGATTTAATTTGAGGAGTAACTTAACTCATTATACAAAAAACAACAGAATAAAATTTAGAGTTTTTTATTATTTAGCATTGTGGAAGATGAAACAGCTGAGTGTAGTGGTGCAGCATGGAGCAAACAATGAAATAAGCCATTTTGTGTGTGTGTGTGTACATGTTGTGATCAGCTGACCTGTGCTGCAACACAGATCATTGTGGATTTAGCCAGTTTAATTCAACAAGATGTAAGCAGATATTTCACAAGCCATAAGACTGATTTCCTGTCAGACATTGTAAAGCTTGTGAACAATTGACCAATTTCACCAAGTACTGCAACCAAGAAGTTTAGCCTGTACTAAACTTAACTAAACTGCCATGTTCAATGTTTTCAGGCAATCTTTGAATAAGACAATTTGTTTTGCAAGAGCCAGCCATCCATGCTTTCCACATATCCATTTCAGGGTCGCAGGCGGGGCAAGTATCTCCCTTCCATCATTAGAAGCAGTGCTATAACACACGAAAAATTGATTTATTAGACAATTGTACACATTAATCTGTAGTATGTAGTAGTATGCAGTATGCCAAATTCAATTGGAATCCTTTGCATTTCATGTCATACTGACCAAAAATTATAAGATGACCCCAAGGTATTTATTAGTATACTGCATTTAGTAATAAGCTTGTAAAGGACTTTCAGACACAAAATAGTTTTAAAAAGAAACTGATTTAGGAGAACATGTCAGTTATTTCACACCATGTATTGCTGTTGTTAAGTCTATAATTAGTAGACGTTGATGTTGGCTAAGTCACTAGCGACTCAAATGGGGATATTTAGCAGCCTTTGCAGAAATTGTTATTTGATGACATAGTTACTCACACACAAACAGCCAGTCTGAACAATGTAACAATTGCATGAAGAGGAAATGTTTGGGGATTTTTTTGCATATGCATATGTAAATTGTATGTGTATGTAATTATTGATAGTTATGCTTCAGCCGTAAGAAAAGCAGAACTACAACAATAGTAGTTTTCATTTTATCAGGTCATTAGGTAAAAATACCATCAATATATATCAATATATGCTTAGTTTTAATCGTCTGCAGAGTATCACAGTAAAGAAAGTGCAGTTTTGATTCCCTTTGGAAGTATAGGCAATGCTTCTGCTAGACTGTAGACAAACACTGCTAGTCTGGACAAACAATAACACAGTCCTTTAATAAGATCTCCAAATAAAACACTCCAGCATATAGGAGGTCTGCCCACACCTCAATATTGCAGCTATACTATGGAAACAATGGTGTATTAACCTCAGCCTTGCTGATTTCCTCACCAGTCCACATGTTCAATCAATGTTGAACACATCCCAGCCAGGGCACCATTCATTACTAGACATTATAAGTAACGTTATCCCTCAGTTTTAAACATGGTCATCGACCTGGGGGCCAGTTAATGATAGAAAAATGATATCATTTGCAGTCGTGTTCCTTTGTAAGCTGACCCCGAAAACCACACGGGGTCTCTTCATCTTGACCACGTCGGCTATCGATTTCCACTGAGGATAATGACTTTTTATGTCTGTAATATATGAGGGTATGTTTGATGTAGGCTGATCTGTTTGCTCACTGTAGCCCATTTTCATTGCCATTGTCAGGGGAGTCATATCAAGGAAAGCTAGAAGCAATATATATTAGAAGACACTCTATGGACATTGCTTAGCAGGCTTTAGCCTCTCATTTTCGTGAGCAGCTCATCTATCCGAAGCCTGGTTCTTTTTTCCAGTCACATTCACTGGTGTTCGAGACATATTGTACAATTTACTAGCTGTTTTGGTTAATTGCATTAAGTTGCACTCTAAAATAAAGTTATATACTCTTTCATTTCCAGCTTGTGGAAAAAGCAATGAGTCTTTAAATGTATGTTTAATTACATTTCTAACTTTTTGCTTTTTTTTGTTCCACAAAACACTCGTAACTGTGACAGCAAAATTTGCAAAATGCAAACTACATGAAAGGAAACTAATTTATTCTTGGTGAAGAGAACTTAGTCTTATTTGATGTTTCAGAGTTGTACTTTAAATTCAAGTTTAATTAAGTAGCTTTCAATACCCCACATGCCACGCTTGCAAATAAGAGATGTTTTACTTTCCTAAATTGCCTCTTTATTTCAAGGTTATGTGCTTTGATTACTCTCTTTTGAATTACAAATAAAATGCACCTGAAACACAACCAGTGCTATAATAAATGGCAGTCAAACAGTATGTGGAAGATTTTAAAGATGTTGGAGGCAATCTGAAAAAAATGATATTACTTAAAATTATAGAATTTAATTTGATGTTCGTATAAGTGATACAAAGACTATCATTGCAGAGACAGAGAAATTGTTCCATCTTTCATCTAGGTGCTCATTTTTGCCCCCCTTGACTACTGGTTGCTTGTAATGTTGATGAGCCAGGAAACTAAACTTATTCTACTTCTTACATTTCTTTTGGGCAACCCCAAATACATGGAAAAAAATTAATGGACTATTCTATAAAAGCGCAGCAGCTACCTTTATTTTTGTGTTCTATCTTTGCTAAAGGTGACTATAACAAGCTAATAAAAATTTTAAAGACCCTCACTTTAAAAACCTAGCAAAAGTTTTAGCAATAATCGCTTACTGAACTTTTATGAACAATTTGAGATCGTGTGAGGTCAAGAGTAGCATTCATAAGGTCCTGTAGTTATAACCTTTCTAAAGGACAGTGAGGAGGATGAGGTTCGCCTGTATGAGTTGGGAGAAATTAGCTTCGGCAGCATACGGATAATGACCTGCCGTCTGGCTCAGCACTCACACTCGACAAAGAAAAATAAAAAATAAATAAAGTAAACCCACCCTCCCCCCTTCTTAGGGTTAATGGACACATGGATTTATTTTTTTCCCCCTCTTTGTAGCCCAATTTATCTCGTTCTTATTGGCATTACCCTCTTGTCTTTGTACTCCAGCAGGGAGGAGGGGAGGCCAAGCGAAACATGAGACCGTAATGAGATTTTGCAGACATTGCACCATGTAGAATTTCGGATGTTCATATTACAGTTTGTCAATATCCAAGAGAACGTATTAAATCGGGCATTCTTGACGTAGCAGTGGAATGACTGATTACATGACCCACTTTTACGTGCTTAATCAAAAAGTGGATATATAGGCATTTAGTCCTGTTTTTCTCCAATCAATCCAAGAGAATAGATTGTCAGTGAAACATTACTGGGTAATACCATCTTGTTTATGATAATATTGTGAAGGCAGGGAGAAAATAATATTGTTAAAACCTTTCTAGACCTAGGTCTTTCTCTCCGTCTCTCCAGTTTGGCCTACTTTGTTTCTTTTAATAATGGAACATTACTTGTTTTTTATATTTACATTTTCATTTTTAGCTTTTGATATTGCAGACATAGATTGAAAACGAGTTTTGTTCTTGAGTCAAAGCATCTTTAAGTAGACATGAGGTAGTGTACCTAATGTGGCAAAAAAAGAAAAATATCGAAATGACCTGACGCATTAGAAAAAACAACTGTAAATTTTAAGAACATGTTTCTTAAACATATTTTTATCCTTAAAAAGAGCTTTGGCATTTTAAACTATATAGAGAACTGCTGGTTCCCTGCTATGCAGTAACACTTGTGTCAGCTGCTAGACACATCATAATAAGCAGGTAATATCCAGTGGCTTTTTACAGGCACATTACTATAATAATCCTGGGCTGCTGAATATTGTTAAGTGGAATGTTGTTCTGCTCATATTGCTCCCTGCTCCAATTTGACAAAGCCACTTAGGCTCCTCCATGTTCAGTCATTTCCACTTGGACTGGAGGGGATTTAAAGCCACTGGAAATGAAGTCTGTGCAGTGACATCACCATGCTGCTTCTGCATGTGTGTGTATTTAGCTTCAGTCCTAGAGTGATTTTTGTGCCTGCTTGTGTGTGAATTCTTGTAGGAAGTCTATTGCAATTTTCTACTTCATGTGTGTGTGTGTGTGTGTGTGTGTGTGTGTGTGTGTGTGTGTGTGTGTGTGTGTGTGTGTGTGTAAAACATTGTGAAGCCCACAGATTTTTATAGAGTACAGGGTCTTTAGGTGTGTAAATTCAGTGGCCGACTGCATGACATCATGACGGATGAGTTAATCATGTCAAAGTTTCATTGGATGGGTCACATGATGCAAAGCCTGCTGGGATTCCCACTTTAAAGGCAATACAGAATATTATTTTTGGTCTCTGATAAAGTGGCACTGTTTTTTTTAGAAGCAAGTTCACTGCAAGGAAAAAAGGTACACATGTATATGTTCTAAATTCATTGAAAGCAAATACAAAACAGAATTCGGATTCGGTTTTACATTAAGTAACATAAACATATGTTTATGTTCATTTAGACAATGTACAGGAGCTTACAGAGTTAGAATTTTACGAGTCTATCGACATAAAAGATATAAAGTGATCTCCCTTCAGCTGCTGTTATCAGACTGCTGCTGATTTCCAAACACATTATTTTATGCTGCTACCATGAGACCAATTCACTCTTAATTAGAAAGTGAATGTATTGCACTGCATTACATCATATAGCAATGGTTCATTGCTGGTATGTGTTGAACAGATAGTTTGAGACTTTAATTATTTTTAATCTGCTATCAAGACTTTTTATCGAGAGTTTTAGGGTTGTGGCAAGAATGTGAATTTATATTCTGAATAGGTCAAAGGTTGAGGTTTGATACGTTTCCCTGATGTCTGGGTTATGTTTGCGAATATTTTTTTTTAACTACAGGAGAGCCAGCCCTCGAACACAGGTGTTTGACATGTGTTATTTGTTTCTACACTAAACACTTCCTGCAGAGTTTTCTAAAGTGCTGAAAATCATATTATCAAGCAAAAACAACATTCAAGCAATATTTATCACTCTAGAACTTCTTATTTGTCATGTTAAGAGAGATAAGGGTAACAGATAGAAGCTGACTGGTCATTTTTACAATCTATCATAAAGCTTATCATTATTTACATGTGTGATGATACAATGTTCTGCTATGCTAGCTGTGTTTTTTGACCATCTTTGCTGTACGTCAGAGCCGCCAATGCAGACAAAATAATCTAGACACCCACCAGTACTTGGACCAACTGCTGGTCCCAGAAGATTGAAGCAGTCAGCATCCATCTCATATCCAGACTATATCTACCAGAATTTATATTTCCACCTAGCATGAAATCTACATCTATAAACACAGAAGATATTTACTGTATTCACTTCCAATGAGATAAATTTTTTTTCCCTCATACACTGTCACAAAGCCCCTTCCTTTCAACTGTGTATTTTGAATAGATGGAGAACAGGTATCACTTGCGTCCACCTGAGAATCCAATTTTGCACAAAGGACATTCGGCTAACACTCATTTATCTGTCAGCAAGATATCTCAAACTGGTATGAATGTATTTCCATGAAAATTTGTGGTAAAACATATACTTCAGGCTTTAAAAAAAATCACTTA